AGTAATAGGCCACTGTCTAGCTGGTGTATTAGCATACAGGTATCTGATTGGCTGACGCTTCCATTGGCGCTTAAAAATTGAGCTACGAGCTAAAAGTGAGCAACGCCTCTGAAGCGGCGCCGACGGATCCACAATGCAGTTCGGCAATGCCTGACATCACCCATTCAAAGTGAACGGGAAGCGTTGATGCTGACGCCCCGTGTGAATGTCCATGTCAAAACATGCCCAATCAACTAAATTAACACAGGTGAACTCCAATTAAGCTGCTCAAACATCTCAAGAATGATCAGTGGAAACGGAATGTACCTGAGCTCAATTTAGAGCTCAACGGCAATATAATGAATACTTATGTTCATGTGAATATTTAGGTTTTTTTATTTTTAATAAAATTGCAACAATTTCAAAAAAATCTTTTTTCACATTGTCATTATGGGGTATTGTGTGTAGAATTTTGAGGAAATAAATTAATTTAATCCATTTTGGAATAAGGCTGTAAGATAAAAAAAATTTCGAAAAAGTGAAGCGCTATGAATACTTTCCGGATGAACTGTATATTCAGAGATGCAAGGTAATTGTAAATATAGTTTTTTGTTTTTCAGAAATTTTAAAGCAATCATAGCAAGACTAGAAATACACTTAAATACTTTTGAATCCACAAAAAAAGAGAGACATCCCGAATGAAAACCTGCTTCAGAGTGCTCTTGACATCAGACTGGGGCGATAGTTCATCTTCCAGCAGGATATTGACCCAAAGCACACCACCAAAATATCAATGGAGTGGCTTCACAACAGCTCTGTGAAGTCCTTGAGTGGCCCAGCCAGAGCCCAGACCTAAATCCTGTTGAACTTTTCTGAAGAGATCTAAAAACGGCTGTACACTGTCGCTTCCTATCCAACCTGGTAGAGCTTGAGAGCTACTGCAAAGAAGAATGGGCAAAAATTCCCCAAAAGACATGTGTGCCAAGCTTGGCATCATATTAAAAAAAAAATCTTGAGGCTATAATTGCTGCCAAAAGTGCATCAACAAAGTATTTGAGCAAAGGAATGCTTCTGTACATGTGATTTTTCAGGTTTTTTATTTTAAATAAATTGCAACAATTTCAAAAAATCTTTTTTCCACATTGTCATTATATTATTATAGTATTGTGTGAAGAATTTTGAAGAAATAAATGAATTTAATCCATTTTAAAATACGTCTGTAACATAAAAAATGTGGAAAAAGTGTAGCGCTATGACACTTTCTGGATGCACTATACCTTATAATATCATGAACACTATTTTCTTAAATAATCTTTACCATATGCAATTGTCTTGATATGTTATAGAAGTTCTGTAGCTTAAACAGAATTGTTTTGCAAAACATTAATCCACATATTTGAATTGATTTTTATAGAAATATTTTATATATTTACAGTATTTAAGTACACTGAAAGATGATTCAATTGGTTTACTTTTACTGAAGTACGTGGTTGCAAACAAGTTGTATGGGCTGAATTTAAACAAACAAATGAAGTTGAACCTTGCTAAATTTAACTTGTTTGTTTAAATTCAGCCCATATAACTTGCAACCTTTGGAAATCCAATGAACATTTTTCTTTTTTTCACTGTAATATTTAAATACAATTACATACAAATGTAAAGTAGTCTTTTACTTTAGTTTTCCTGCTGAAAAGTAATTCAAGTAACCTTGTAACTAATTACGCCCAACTCTGAATAGGAACATATTATCATTTGATTAAGAAAAAATACACTTTTATACACACAAATTTGCTTTAATCGTGTAGAAAAATCCCCTAAAAAGTTTGTCTTGCAATATGATTTAACCAATGTGCACCATAGTGAAACAAACCAAGAGAAAACCTATTAAACAAAAGAGATTTGAGACTTGACCTTGACTCAGGCTCAGCATCAGAGACTTCAAAAAAGGGGGACCAGAGCTTGTCGCACCTACAGTTCACTTCGTGTGACGTGAATATAAAAAAATAAAACCGCAGTTAACCTGGCCGTCCCGATCTCTCCTGTTGTGTTTATCAGCTTACAGACACATAGACTGAGTGCATTAGACAGAGCTCGCAGGTCTGTCTGCTCCGATAACTATAGCGTCAGCCCAGAAACACAGAGACAGACGTAAGAAGGGAAGCAAGAGGAAATGAATTGGAGATAAAGAAATATTCATTTCCCTTTTACTAGTCCTGCGTTTTGTTTTTTGTCTATGTGTGTGTTCTGTGGGATAAGAGCAGTTGGTGGTAGCAGCTAGTTACCTTTATTAATTGTTCCCTTTGATTTCTCCCTTCCTGTGTGTGTGTGTGTATGTGTGTGTGTATAAGTATGCATGTATGTCTGTGTGTGTGAAGCCTGCGAGTGAAGATAATGGAATGTACCGGCTGTCTGGCAGTGGTGAAGGGAATTCTGGGAGGCTGAAGAGAGAGTGTGTGTGTAGACAGAGGCAGCTGCTCCGTGCTGATAGTGCTATCTGATTGTGAGCGTGCCGTCTCCCTCAAAGGACCGCTCAGGAGAGAATAGAATGGAAGATCAAGGATGACAGCGAAAAAATGGCATTTTATCGGAAAATAGTTCAAAGTTTATAAATAAAATAAAGCTTTTTTGCAGCAGCAGGACTGGGGAGGACAGATAAAGCAGCAGTTCCGGCCTCTGTCCCAACTCGCCTTTCTCTCCGCCTTTCTCTTCATTTACAGAGATGTTAGTGTGGTTTATAATAAACCTGCGAGCGCAGATTAGAGCGGGGACTGAAGAAACGCGTCATCCTGCTTCTACTCTTCTAAATCGGCCTCCCTGCCGGTGCTTTTGCGCTCTGGCATCTTGACAAGGCTCACACATGAAGAAGATGCTTTATAGCATGTGTGTGCATCTGTGTGGGTGCTGATCTTAAGCATCTAGATTAGCGATAGACCAAATATTAAGATTATTGATAATCATTTTTATTAGAATGTTGTGGTTGCTTAAATCCAATTAAGTCTCTGAAACCCTTTGTGGCATACTTGATATGCTGTGGACAAAATGAATTTATTTTTATTATTTGTGTCTTTATTTTTCATTAGAAAATGTTTAGACTAACAACAGATTAATATATATATATTTTTGTATGATACCATATATTGACCAGGCATACTTTTTCTTTTTTACTGTGCTGCATACTTTTTAGAAGGAACTGCTGACAAGGGGGAAATAATAAGAATAAGAATAAATTTAGTGCAGGGGCTTTTGTTCCAGACGGCTGTCTAATACGAAGTCTAGACATGTCGCATGGAGCATGATGCTTGTAGAAGTTGTGAAATATATTAAAGATGCACTTAATTGTTCAGTTGTGGTATGCAGTGAAGGGTTGCAGAAAAGAAGAAGTATGTCAGGGGTACAAGAGCCAAAGGACTGCAGAATGACTGATAAGTGACGTTACACCAGAACTCCACCTGTTAATATCAGTTGTGTATATATGCTGGAGTCAGGGAAATGTATGTTAGTTGCGAACCTCTAATGTAATTCTTGTATTGCATTGGGGTAACGTAACCCAGAGCTCTGCCATCGAATTATTCATTTGTATCTAATAAATTACTTATATTTTTGGCATTGAAGAAAACCATCTCTAGACCTTTTCTTACTGAACATGCATGGAATAAGCTTGATATTCCAACAAATGCCAATTGCAAAATGTTTGACTTTCGTGTTGTGGTGTATGCATTTTTTGCTGTGGTATCTTAACTGATTTCTAGAAGTTTTTTTTTTTTCAAAATATCTTTATTGCAATAGCAAACAAACTGTTGAATCTTTACTTTCATTTATTCATTCATTTTCTTTTTGGCTTAGTCTCTTTATAATTCAGGGGTCGCCACTGCGGGATGAACCGCCAACTAATCTAGGATATGTTTTACGCCCTTCCTGCTGCAACCCATCACTAGGAAACACCCATACACTCTCAACCACACACATACATTACAGACAATTTAGCTTACTCAGTTCACCTATAGCCTATGTCTTTGGACTTGTGCGGCGAAAACAGAGTACCCCGAGGCAACAACACGGGGAGAATGCCAATGGTCCCACCCGAGGCTCAAACCAGCGACCTTCTTGCTGTGAGGCGACAGCGGTACCCACTGGGCCAATGCGACATCTATACTTTCTTGATGTTTTATTTTTAATGTTATCAATTTTTTTTTTTTTTTTTTATCTGGAGAGACTTTAAAATGTTTCTTTTTTTAAGTAAGTCCTTCCAAAATTGGTAAAATGTTTATCAAAAGTAAATCTTAAAGGTCCAGTATGCAAGTTTGACACCCAGTGGTTTAACTAGGTATTGCACCCCTTGTTAAAGACACTGTATTTTGTGACAAGATCCACACACGCGGCTGTCATTAACCCTTTCAGGCTCAAATTAAATTTTAACTGTTGCAAATCAGCAACGCCTGCCTGGTTAAAGGACCACACACACACACACACACACATACATCGCAAAACTTGGAAGTTTTTTTTTTCTTTCCACTTGACAAGCGGTATTATTAAAAACATCACTCTTCCACCAGTCCTTCATATTTGCGTCAAATATCCCAGTTTGTCACGGGGGCATGAATGAAATGTTCATGAGTGCTGAACTGCAATTAAAGTCGATAAATTAAAGATGAAACACCCAAAATTACATGAGACTCTGAAGAAAATGTGAACAGCCTGGTGACACAACTTTAAGCATTTTTTACTTTAAGCAAAAACTTTAAAGCACTTCACGTATTCATATTATTGTCTCATTCAGATTAAGGCAAATAACTATTGTGTGTTGGGGGGGTCTTATATTATATTTTATATATTTTACTGGAAGGCATTAAGTTTACAGGTGCCTGATAGTTGTGGAGCTATCGTTAATCATATTATTCCCTCTAGTCTAGTGAACGCATAAAAATCATCATCATAGCTTACTCGTTAATGTTGCTCACAATTTGAAAACTCCTGCTCTACATGACATAGCATGACTCTTTTTAAATGATTTTGTTCCTTAGGTGAGTCATCAGTTGGCCAGTGTGATGGATCTTTTCAGCACCAGTCTTTCTGTGGCTGGTGTTTCTCCTCCTGATGACCGTGTCATTGATGGTGTTGATTTAAGTCCTGTCCTCTTCAACGGCTCACTGATAGACAGGTAACCCTCTCAGAGAGTGTAATATACACTGTAAAAAATGCTGGGTTCCACACAATCAATTTGTGTTGGGAAAATATGAAAAAAATAATTTGACTTTTTAATTGACAAAATTAAAGCAGCTGATATTTGGCAGCTCCATCAAGGGTTGCATGCTGAATGTGCTGTTATAGCCTTTTGTCAGGGCTTTGAGAAGATTGCTTTGTTTTGGACTAGTCAAAATTGGATGTCCTTAATTTTTTTTTTGTTCCTTTGTTATGCGTCTTTGTCCTGTCACTGTCATTTTGTTGCACTGTGAAAACTTCTGTCATGAAAGCAAATTCCCTGTATATGCAAACATACCTGACAATAAAGCTTTTTCTCATTCTGGTTTTAAATGATCGGACAAGTGCAGTTGATGATGCATTAGGTTCTGTTGTGTTGTTTATCACTGACTACATTTGCATGGACATCAGTAATCGAATCATTTGACTTAATCTGAATAAATCAATAAAATGATTGAGATGTTTACATGAGTTGCTTTTTAAATGTTCTTTTCAAAATGCCGTTTTACATGTTATAACACATAATTTAATTAACATCGTTGTGTCACCTGGCTGTCCTCTGGCTTTCCTCTGGATTTTCAAGTAATTTTGGCTGTTTCATTTTTAATTTGTTGACTTTAACTGCAGTTCGGCACTTTTACTTTCATTCAGGAACATTTCATGCATGCCCCCTATGATAAACGAGATACTGGATGCGAGTATGAACTGCTGGAAGAGTGTTGTTAATGGAAGTTCATACCGCATGCTAAATGGGAGGGGAAAAAAACTCAGCATTTCGCGGTGTATGTGTCTGTGGTCTTCACTGACTCGGTAGGTGCAGAGAATAGTGCCAAACAGCCATGTGTGTATAGACTATCCTGTCGCAAAACGCAGCGAAAAGTCCTACAGGATGGTAATAGTATGATTGCAGTTTTTACATGTCTGTACAGTACTTAATAATGCGTTTAAAATTGACATACTCCACAGGTCTGATTTCTGTTCAGTTAGATTATGACCTAATTAAATTAATCAAAAATCTCTCTTTACATGGTAGACTCCTAATATTGTCTTAATCATATTATATTCGGTTTATTGGTGTCCATGTAAACATACAAACTAATTATTGTTAACTGTAGGTACAAATACTGACCAGAGGCACTGTTCAATAACACAAAATGCAGGAAAAAAAAAGAGAAAAGAAAGTTATGGTGTCCTTCTGAAGCCACTACCTGGGGGTTTGAGAAAGAGACCATCTGGTTGACAACACATATTGCCATAATGTGATGGGACAGAAGGATTTTACCACAACATTTGCGTTTCATTATCAACAGACCCATCTTCTATTACCGTGGCAACCAGATGATGGCAGTACGGATCGGTCAATACAAGGCACACTATTGGACATGGAGCAACTCAATGGAGGAATTCAACAAGGTCAGATATCGTCTTTTTTTCACAGTCAGCAAACCTCAAGTCAACATTTTTATGTATATAATAGGGATGCAACAATACAGATAGCTCACGGTTCAATACATACCTCGGTTTTTTAACACAGTTTTCGTTCGGTTTTGTTCTCATGGCTTGACACGTGTTTTTTTTTTTTTTTTTTTTTTTTTTAATCTATAGGCAATAGGAACAGTAAAGGGTTAAGGAGAAAAAAATAAAAATGATTTATTGCAGTACTCATTGTTTTACTTAAAAGCCAAGGAAAGTACACTACTTCCTAATGTATTGTAAGAAAAAAATCTCACAGCTGCTGGTAGCCCATGTACATACACATAAAATCCTACACTTTGAAAATAAACATACATGTGAGGTTAATAAAGATAAATTGGCCATTTCAAATAAACATATTTGCACATAAGTTTACAGAAATAAACCATTTTAATTATCTCGGTGCTGAAAAAATGTAAAGCTGTAGTCTGTAACGCGGATCAAGTGCTTTTATAAGATTATTTATTGCTTTTATACGATTTATTGTTGCTATTTGGAGGACTTCATTATATTAGACAGTGACATTGCTGGGTGATGGCACTGCAGATGTGCAGTCATGGTTATACATGTAAAACAATGCTTGCACACAGTCATTTTTTTTCACCGTTTTTTTCTTTTATTGGCATTATGCTTATAAGGAAAACTGAAATGTACTTACACCGCAGATTTGAAAGACGCCGGCGCTTTCACGTACTGTTGCCTCACTTCGCCGGCGCTTCCTGGTACTGTTGCCTCAGCCTCACTTCAGCTTGGATATTTACTCGCGGGGAGGAGTTTTCTCATCTCAGATCATGGACTTACAGGCACACACAGTCAATTTGGAAAGATATAAAACGCAATTAATTATTTAAACGCAAAATCGAGAAAACCGTAATTCATGCGCGTATTGAACTGTGGAGGTCGTACCGTACGGTTCAACATTATATTGAGAACCGTGGCATCCCTATAACACTTTTCACAATAAAATGGCTTTAAAGAGCCCATATTATACATGAAATAGGGTCATATCCTGGTTGTAAGGGTCTCCAACAACAGTCTAATATGCATGCAAGGTCAAAAAACACTTTCATGGTCTTATAATCTGCATTTATTTTTACCTAATTATCCCAGCGACTCCTGTATGAATCGTCCAGTGATTCATTTGTTCCCAAACCCCTCCTTAGCGCGGAGCTAATCTGCGCTGATTGGACCGATGACAGTCTGTCGCGATTGGTCGACTGCCTTCAGTCAGAGAGGGAAATGGCCAATAGCTAATCAGCAATTTAAAAAGTAATCACAGTTCATACACGCTCGATAGTGCAGACGTGGATTTTAGCTGCCACACTATGGCGAGTGGATAGTGCCACGGATAACCGAACGAAGGAGACAGTCGTGTACTGGCCATACCACACACACACAAAAACACACACACACCTCCGGATGACAACGCTCCCGCTTCCGCCCGCACCCGCCAGGTTTTAGCCTGAGAACCCGCTCCGTTTTCTGCCCGCCGCGCCCGGTCCCGCTAGAGCGGAGAACACAACCAAAAATCACCCAGTATACAGTCCAGACAGCCAAGCTGTCGTTCGTTCGTTCGTTCGTTCGCTCGCTCTCTCTCTCTCTCTCTCTCTCTCTCTCTCTCTCTCTCTCTCTCTCTCTCTCTCTCTCTCTCTCTCTCTCTCTCTCTCTCTCTCTCTCTCTCTCTCTCTCTCTCTCTCTCTCTCTCTCTCTCTCTCTCTCATACGCGCGCGTGCGCACTAACACACACACAAGCACCACGCAGACTCTCTCTTTCTAATTCGCATAGCAATATCCGTGATATTGCTAGACAGCCCGCTCCCGTCCCAAATTAAACCCGTTACCGACCGCTCCCGCAATTTATTCGGAAATTTATTCCCGCGGCTGTCCCCGCGCCAGATTTCTGCGGCGCGGGAATAAATTTCCGAATAAATCGCGGGAGCAGAACTCTAGCACGGAGCTCCATAAACAAACAGCACGCGTCGCGTTTTTAACGTGACTCTGCACGCGATAAGATAAAATATCCAGTTAACCTGATACAGTACACGCGGTTACAAGTAACAAATCACAACTAAATACATTTGCAAGCAAGAGTAAACGAGGCAACAACTTTAACCGCACGTACTTACACTTGAGAAATGGAAGAAACCCATTCTGACGTCCATCAGTTACTCTTTACTGATCCTTCCTTTAACAAACTCAGATGAAGTATTCTTTGTAGCATGTAGCTTCCAGAAGTTTCCAACTGCTTGGTTATAATGCTGAGGTTTCATCTTTGGGTAGAGACTCAATATATCCATCTGCAGTGTGACTTCAATCGACCGGCATGTTTGTGTGCGTGTGTTTGTGGGTGTGCGTGTGTTTGTGGGTGTGTGTGTGTGTCTGGGTTTCTGCGTCAGAGGGCGGGGCCTCAGGTTTGAAATCTCCCGGGTTTGCGCGTGCACGTGAATAACTTGGTTTCGTTCGTACGTCATGGCGAAACACCTAATGAGTCGGTATCAAGGCGACTCGTTTGAAGCACTATGAGTCGACTCTTTTATAGATGAATCAACCGTTTTAAACACTGTATTCTTACAGATTTAAGCCTTAGCTGGATACTTCGCTTGACTTAGAGCTGTGTTACACACTACATGGAGGGGAATTTTCAAAAACCCATAATATGGGCTCTTTAACAATAAAAATAGCTTCAAAGCAGGTTTACAGATGATGGTTCTATGATATTACGGCTTTAATCTTGAGCAAATTGAGCAATTTAATTACTTATAATGCAGGTGTTTATTCTGATTTAGATGTATTTATAGTTTTGTCCAGCACAAAATTTAGTGCCACAATGAATTTGAGTTGATGTTGGGATTGTTCTGTAAAGAGCTTTAAATGTGTGTTTTGTGATTTAAACTGTACACAAGAAGTATTCACAAGAACAAGACTGATTGTCACAGGTAAAAAAAAAAAAAATGCTCTGGCACTTTTAAGTGTTCAAATGTAATTTAGAGATTAAGATAATAGTCAGTTGCTCAATTCTCACTCTACATGACTGGGAATATGGTTTGTTATCTTGAAGAGATAGTTCACCCACATCTGAAAAGTCTGTCATTATATACTCACCGTTCACTTGTCTCAAAACTGTTAGAGTTTCCTTTTCTGCTGAACACAAAGTAAGTTATTTTGGAAAATGTTGAACACCTGTAAACATTGACTTCCATTGTATTAATTTTTTTTCTATTTAAGGAAACTCATAAAGGTGTGGAACTACTTAAGGGTAAGGTGAGATAAGTAAACTAGCTAAGTTATTGTAGTATGGTGTGAGGTAAATGTTTTCAATTAGCAGCGAGTTCAACGAAATTAGTTTTTGGTTGTAGTTTCAATTGAAAAGGCTCTGGCTTGTGTCTAAATTGTGTTGGATTTACTTGAAAATTACTTATTTTGTGATAAACATTTTAACTGAAAAATATTTATATTGCAGTACAATTTTGGTTTTGACAATGAACAAAGAAGTAAAAGCTATTTGGTAGCATCAGGAGAAAGGAAACTTCACTAAAACTTCACAAGAAAACTTCACTATTACTGACACTGAGATTAAAAACACCTAAATTCGGTTATTCAAAATACTAAAAGTGAATTTAAATGCAAAAACATTTAAATGTTCAGTTGGAAAGTTTGAAGTTCATTTTTTATTGCTGAAGACAACTTATTAAAGAGTTAATCAATTCAAAATTCAAAAAAATAAAAAACACACTTCAAAGAGTGATAATCAACAGTAATACTTTTAACATTTTCAGTAACAATTTAATTTAGCTGTGTTAATAATACCTAAGTCATAAAACTTTTATAATCATGACATGACATGAAGGTGAATGAGATTGTATGCATGCTTCTTACTGTCATTAAGTGTCATTTGCTCAGTGTTGACATTAAATGCAAAGATGACATTGTTGTTTATGACAACTTGACATAGATACATTCCTCTGTATCAATTTCTGTCATGAAATCTTGACATCACAAAAACTTAGACATGACTGTCATAAAGCTATTATAAATGTGTCATGAATTTTATAACAGCTTCATTATTTTTTCCTCAACTGCAGTGGTACAAGCTGAATTTGTCATTAAAATGTCATTAATTGCTGTTAAACATTGTTAAACAACAAGTGAGTATTGAAACTTTTATTGACAAATACAGTTTGTTGCAAGGAAAATGTGAACAAAACACAATTGTGTTTATGACAAACAGAAGACTGGTTCAATGTGGTTCAAGCAATGTCATCTTTTTAATTAAAGTGCCATAAATGATCGAATGACACTTAATAACAGTTGCCATAAGCATGCATAAAATCTCATTCACATCCATGTGTCATGTCATGATTATAAATGTTTCTTATGAACACCCCTTCAAGTAAAGTGTTACCAAAATATCTACCTTTACTTTCCACAGAAGAAAGTAAGTCATATCATTTTGAATTTACATGATGGGGAGAAAATAGACAATTTTGGATCCTATAATACACCCGGCGCAATAAGTGTTTGGCGCGATTTTGTTGCTATTTTTTGACCAGCGCAACAATCATTTTCAAGTTTTGCACCACGCTGTTTAAATAGCATAATAAAAACAAGTTTAGATTTGCCCACCTATCGGGTTTTAGAGACGTATGCATCACCATATGGGGCATAGGAATAGGACGTGTGTTTGGATAATTAGGAACTTTGTTTTTGACCACATTTTGTTATTATTGTTCATTTATTCATTTGCTGGAAATTAAAACTGAATTTAGAAATAGTTTTGAAACAAATCTTTGTGCTTAACAAATTTAATTAAATATGTAGGCTATTGCATTGCTAATACAGACAGCAAGCTCTGTGGGGGGTTCAGTCATATTTTAACACTTCCCTGCCTCACCAAAAAATAGACACAAAAAGACAGAGTCTCACTCATTCGCCATCAGCAG